CGGGTGGAGTTTTTCATCCAATAATTGAAGTGAAATTGTCGGCAAAAGAATCGCTTTGTGGCAGTGAAATTTATTTGCCGCTGGACTTGGTGATGGCACTGACGATGGCTGTGCTCCACACGTACCATGGCCGTGCTGCGCAGACCAGTGTGTCAGTAAAGTACTGTCAGCCTGGTCTCTTCCTAAATACGCATATACGTTGCAAAACGGCATCGACCGCACGACTATACTCTAGGAAGCATGCCAGCTTGGTGCGAATCGCGACGGTCCTCGCGCCGTAGATGCCGCGAGTGCAGCTGCCGCTGCGTGCAGACCTGCGTTTCTCTAGGTCACTGACGCTATCTTGAAATTTCTGGCCTTTTTTGTTGCACTAGCACCCGCTCTCTAGACAGCGTGACAAATATCGGTTATGCGGCATGATGGACACGTTGATTGCAACAGGACGCCACCTTGCTACGCCTGCTAGCCATTGATCTGTCAACCACTTTACGACACTCTTTTCAATTTATAGGACACGTTGATTGCAACAGGATGCCACCTTGCTACGCCTCGTGACCATTGATCTGTCAACCACTTGATGGCACTCTTTTCCATTTATAGGGCATGTTTGTGGAGAGAGGCGTTTTGGAGGCGAAGCTTTATGGAGGCCTTTATTTTAGAAAATTTTAACTTCAAACTTTTATGTTTCAAAAAATTCTTAAAAAATATGCTTGTATGTAAGGATGTGACCCACATGTGTGTAAAAATTAATGATGAAATACCTTGAGTTGCGACCTGTACAAAAAAGACAAATTCATGGCATTGGAGGATGAATAGTATCATGTGTTAAATAGCCCCAGATTTGTCTTTTTTTTCCACAACCCTCATTTCAGTATATTTTGAACTGAAAATTTACACATATGTGTGTTATGCCTTCATGTATATCTGTATTTTTTCAGAATTTTTTGAAATGTAAAAATATGAATTTTGATGAAATTTCAAATCTGAATTTGGAGGCCTCATTGGAGGCCGAGCTCTAAAAGGGATTTCCGATGTTTGTGCTATTAGTTCAGCTTACTTGTGTTTAATTTTTTCTGTATTTGAACTTGGTGGTTTGCTTTACTATAAAGCAGGGCAAGTCGACACAGTCCTTCTCAAAAGAAAAAGAAGAGTCAATTACAACACATGTGTCTGAAGTTGGCGAGAAAAATCAATTCGGTGCTAAAACTTGCAACATACATTAAATCGGTGACAAAACTTGGCTTCGATGTGCATCTACGGTGCAAATCACGTTTGTATACGCACATAATGCTGACAAGGCACGCCAATGTGGCGTGGGACCCAGTTTCAGCGACTGGAAGTTAGAGACAAGGGCATGTGGCCCGATTTTTGTGCAAAACACCCTAGATTTTTATGGGAAAACCCCCTTGTTTTATTCTTAGACAAATCCCTGGAATGTAGCTACGTCTCTATGACAGTTGGGGCCCACCCGTCAGAAAACAGTACAAAGAGAAAACCAATATGCAAAAGTGACAGCAGTACTCGAACCGGCGACCTCAACCTAAAATGGCGGTCCATGCTAGCCTCCCCTCCAAGTCTGGCTTCATGTCTAACTGGGATAGACAAACTTAATTACCAAATACGAGCACGAAAATCGGGCTTAAATGGGCAGCAGTAGCCGTGGACCATTTTTCACATGATATTTTTAGTTCATAAATTAATAAAATTCATATTTATTATTTTAATTTTAGAGTTTTCTTTAGATTACGTAAACATTATTATAAATAATAATATGTCTCGTAATCGTAAAGAGAATACACGAATATTTTTGGTGAACACATTACGATAGCCTAAAAATAAATGAATATATTTTGAATACATTAATAATATTTTTATAATTAAAGACATTTATTGTAATTCATAAATATTGTTTTAATTATATGTTTCTAGATAATATGTGAACATTTTTGGAATAAAATGAACATTCTTTAAAATAAGAACAGATTTTATAATTACAAATAATTTTTTAAACCGGACATAACCCCTTTTCATTACTGTGACATAACGGAAATACATCAGTCTAGAGAAAGAGATAGGAGAAGGGAGAGCGGGTTTAAGTATCGTCGGGAACCCACTGTGAGCACTAGCCATCGAGATTACCCACTGCAGGACAAAAAACTGGCAACACCATATATCAGTTTAACTGGGCACAAAAGCCCCTACATCCACCATAAACGAGCTGGGCTGCCGTGAACATTTCTTTGAATATTATTATTAATTTAGATGTTTTTCCAGAATTCTAGGAAAGGAAGAACAACTAACATCTACAAATGGGCTGCGGTGACTGCTGCACACTTAAGCCTTATGTGCGTGTCCGTTTATATTCAGTCCATTGCCTCAAAAAAAGTTTATATTCAGTCCATTAAGGATACAAATCCGGTAATTGTCTTTGGCTCCTAGGTGCATATGCACTCATTGTCGAAATACACATTTCGAAAAGTTGAAAAATTCGGAACAAAAATCCCGCCTGTATATCCGGACATTTTATGTGCGACACAAGGTTTCAGTGAAAAACGACGTTTTTTGTGGGACAAGGCATTTCTTTATCTTTTTTACACAAGCCACAAAAAACGTGTTTTTCACCGAAACCTTGTGAACGCACATAAAATGTCGGGATATACACGTGGGATTTTTGTTTCAAATTTTTCAATTTTTTGAAATGTGTATTTCGACAAAACGCCGCTCTCATACAAATCGTATTTGAACCGAAAGTGATACTTGGTGTGGTGGCCAGCCTGGTCCTGTGTTCCATCCTGTGCGCAATTGATGTGAACGTATTTGATTCGTGTTTTTAATTATTTTTTAAATCATAACTTTCAAACCACACATCGAAATTAAGATCTGTTTTCACTGTTGGAACCCCCGCGATGTGCTCTTCGAAACTAGATCCCGCATGGGTATATTTCGATGAAATTTCTTTTGTCCAATTTTATCCTCGTTTTATGCAACTGCTTTACCGTCGATGTGCAACTACCTGACAGAGATGTGCAACTTCTCTTCTACATCATAGACGTGCAGTTTTCAATTATGATACCTACCTCCACCCCCAAACTATCTCCTTCTACTGAAATGTGTAACTTCGTCTGCTGCCCAGGGCAACTGCATAGTAGTTGATATATATGCAACTTTTCCCCTCCCGTGGATGTGCTTCACTGTTTGCTGTATCGGCCAGCAACCTAATAGTGGATGTGCAACTTTGGATACTGCCACGACCAACTTTCTAACAGTGATGTGCAACTTTCCCTCGTACCCCCATGGACGTGTAGTTTCCCTGCTAGCACCCGACCCAAACCACCCCTGCTAGTGAGATTTGCAACTTTAGCATTCTGTTTATATGCAACTTTTCACTATCCTCATAAATGCCAAATTTTCACCATCAATTGTCTCTTTCCGTGAGATGTGCAACTTCGTATATTGCCCTGGCCAACTACCTAGCAGACTATATGCAACTCTGTTTGTCGCCCCGCCAACTGAAAATACATGTCCACAAATAGGGATGGCAATGAGTTGCACATTGACTAATAGGCAGTTGGCTTGAACAATAAACTAAGTTGCACATATTGCTTGCAGGGGGAGGTGGGGGGTAGGGTTTGCCAACAGTGAAGAACTGCACATCGACTACTAGGTAGTTGGTCAGGAAAGTATACTAGTTGCACATCAAAGTTGTCATGGTTGCTAGATTGCCATCTCATAGGAAGTTGAATCGTGCAGATCCGAAAATTGATTTTGGAAAAAGTTGCACGATGTAGTATTAAAGTTGCACCATATAGCACCAAAGTTGGCATCGAGTTTTTTTTGTTGAAACATAGCCATGCGGGATCTAGTTTCATAGATCTCGTCTCAAGAGTTCCAACTGTGAAAACAAATCTGAATTCCGACGCGCGGTTTGAAAGATATGACTTTTTAAAATTTAAAACTCCGAAATGAATGTGCGTGGATTTGTTCTGTTTGAAATGAAGTAACCAATATGAATGCATTTAATGCTAACTATCACAGGTACTAGGAGACAAAAAAGATTAACAGCCACATGCATGTGAGATCGGCCACTCCATTCAACCAAATAGTGTGTATGCACTTTTTAGGTTTTAGGTATTTTTCGTTCCAATTTCTGCCCAGACTGGTGGGGCCCAAGTGCCATACCCAAGTTTCATTTGTTTTTGCAAGAAAAAAAATTTGAGTGTCTTTTTGTGAGTAATATAAAATTCCGGGTGGTTTCACAAAAACCGAGGCACACGTCCTTGCATGTGCCTTTCAATCACTGACACTGGGTCCCACGCTAATAATGCTTCACCTACGAA